AAGACTTTAAAAAAAAAAGAGTGGAGGGGAGGGAGAATACCCCTATCTGTCAAGTTATAGGCACACAAAGGCTTGGTTTGCCTCTCCTCTCTCTAAATACCCAGGTTCTCAGAAGGTATTTGGTGAACAGGAAGAGGATTGAAGAGGGATGGTGCAGAAGATACAGGATGTGATCATGGCTGAGCTAGATGCTCAGGGGATGCTCAAGCTGGAAAGACAAAGTAATCCCGTATAATAACGTGTCCTCCGTTGTATACCAAGAGAACACATTCTGAGACAGGACCCTTAGAGGGCAGCCTCTTGCTGAATGAACTTCCACAGCCTCAGAGGTTAGCATAAGTAGTGATGGGCAGGAGTGCCAGCAATCTACTACCTTGGGCTAGGTTTAGCAGAGAGAAAGCATCCGCTCAGTCACACATGCGGCATTTGCATCACACTCCTTCCTTGTCCAGGCTCAGGAGCCATCATGCGTCCCTGGACATGACAGGACAGCTACACTCATGAACTCCCAGCAGCTGTGCATGCCCATGTAGGAAACCTTTCTAGCAAGGAGCAGAGAGGAGTCAGTCCCTCCCCTGGGCTGAGGAGCAGTAGACAGTTGATGGGCTCTGGGGAAGGGAGTCTTTCAGAGTACAACCTCTGGGAGGTTGTCTGTGCGCCATGAGTCCATGGGAATGTGTATATGACTACAAATTAGAATTAGTAGGTTATTTAGAAGAAGAGGAGGAGGAAGAGGTGGTGGTAAGGGGTAGCTCTGGAAGGAGTTAGGGGAAGGAGTCTGACAATTTTAAGTTGCATTCCTGGAACCCACAGTGGAAGGAGAGAGAGAACCAACTCCCCAAAGTTGTCTTTCCCACCTCCTCCCATGCTCTGCTTAACAATAAATAAAGTGCTCTGCTTAACAATAAATAATTAGTTAAAAAATAATAACAACATGCACATGCTTTTTCCCAATGTACTTAAAATACATTCATTTTGGATGATCATGATCAACACATTCCCATTTTAAATTATTAAATCATGTTCCCATATTTTGTATGCAAGGCAAATCTCACCTTGGATCTGCTACCTACTGTCACACTGAGTGGCACGTCTCTAGAGTAACATGGTAGAACCCCGAATGTCCAGCTTAGCAGGCAGCACACCTGGCTCTGTGATACTCTAAGCACAGGTCAAGTTTCCCCAGCTCCAAGAGAGGAAGTCTGCCCTATCTGTGTCTTATTCCTAAGAATGGGGCCAAGTACATCTGCAGAATCTGAGAGCCCCTGTTGGCTCTCTCCTTTCTGTTTTAATTTCCGGTTATGATCACTCTGAGCACCCTGGGAGCTCAGCAGCAGTCCACCGTAGCTCTAGCTGGGCCTCTGTTATGGTCTGAATCTGAATCATTCCTCTTAAGTTCTTATTTTGAATGCTTGTTCCCTAGCTAGTGGTGCTCCCCAGGGAGGCTATGGAACCTACCAGCTTGGCTGGTAGAAGTGAGCCATGGTGGGGAAGGACTTTGAAGGCCATATGCTGGACCCTGATACCAGCCCCCTCAGGGCTACCTGCTCTGTAGCCACACAGACAGAGCCACCACAGATGCCAGCTACTACCATGAGCTGAGCTGTGATGTTGTACTTCCTACACTAGCTACAGAGCCTGCAAGCCCTCTGAGACCATGAGCCACAGCCCCCGGGAGTCCTTGTTGAGGATGTTCTTGTGAGATTCTCTGTCACAGCAATCACAGGTAACAAAACCAGCATCCATGTAGTGACAAACTGTCACAATTGGAAATTCAACATGGGGCCACTCTGGTCTCCTACACACACCCTCTGCTCCCGTTTCTGTCTGTGTCCTAGCTTTCAAACAGTTGCCTTCTGTATGTTCTCCAGAGTTCTTTGTTTTCTGCCACTCCAGCATTACAGGATGTGAGCCCTGTTGACTGGCAGCTTTTAATCCCTAATCCCTAGTGCTCCACAGAAGTGCCTTGGGCCTGCTGTGGGGGAGGGGTGCTGACTAAGTAAATGTTTCTGTTTTCTGCATATAATTAAAAAATGAGATGTTAAAGTAATTTGTAAACATTGACTGGAAAATACGATTCTTGAAGGCATCCACGAGGCTGTGTGTCTCACGCTTGAGCGTATCCTCTCTCTGTCCTGAGTGAGCCTTTATTCCATCTTCTGCTTAGTCCTCCAGGGGGTAGGCTACTCTTCAGGTAGAGACATTGCTGCCTGTCTGCTCACTGAGTTCATTATGTTTTGTTTTTCTGAGACAGGGTTTCTCTGTGTAGCCCTGGCTCTCCTGGAACTCACTCTGTAGACCAGGCTGGCCTTGAACTCTGAGATTCCCCTGCCTCTGCCTCCCAAGTACTGGGATTAAAGGCATGTGCCACCACTGCCTGCTCTGATAATTGAGTTTTTATGGTTGCTAAATCTTCCTTCTTTGGCCCCATAACTGAGTGAGGGACTGACAGATGGGCTTGAAGTATAGCTGTCGATCCTCAAAATATACAACTGGAAGGACTTACTTAGCTCACAATTCCTGGTCCCTAAGTGTGATGATCTGTATATGCTTGGCCCAGGGAGTGGTACTATTAGAAGGTGTGGCCCTGTTGAGTAGGTGTGTCACTGTGAGTGTGGGCTTAAGACCCTACTCCTAGCTGTCTGGAAGCCAGTATTCTGCTAGCAGCCTTCAGATGAAGATGTAAAACTTCCAGCCCCTCCTGCACCATGCCTGGCTGGATGCTGCCATGCTCCCACCCTGATGATACTGGACTGAACCACTAAACCTGTAAGCCAGCCCCAATGAAATGTTGTACTTTGTAAGACTTGCCTTGGTCATGGTATCTGTTTACAGAAGTAAAACCCTAAGGAAGACACTACGACTTCAAGTAGCTAGTCACCTCACACCACAGCCAAGTGCAGAGAGAATGAATGCTCCCAGGCTGCTTGGCCTTTCCTGTTTGTTTTTTCCTCTCTTGTTTGTTTGTTTTTGACTCTTGTATAGTTCAGGATCCAGTCTATGAAATGGGAATGCCCACATTCAGGGTGGATACTCCTATCTCCATTAACAATCAAGACAAACCCCCCCCCCAAACATTCCCACAGAACAACCTAACCTACGCAATTTTGCAATGGAAGACCTTTTCTTAGTGATCCTAGGACGGGGCAAGTGGATATTCAAAACTAACCACCACACAGACTTTCTGAGTGAGTCCTCCCTTAAAGCCTCTAGCATGGAAATAGGCTTTTATTCTTAATTTTGAAGGAGCATGCAAAAATCAAATAAGGAATGTTACTTGCTTGCTTTTCCTTCTCATTTCCTCTTACACACTAAGACTTTAACAAAAAGCCATGCTGACATGATTATGGCTCAGCAGGTAAGGTTGCCTACACCAAACCTGACAACCTGAGTTAGACACCTGGGACCCACAGGCTGAAAAGATATTAACTCCTGAAAGTTGTCCTTTGACCTCCACACATGTGCCATGAAGTATGTGTACAGACACACATACACAGACATACACATGTACGCACATACATAAACACACACACATACACACACTCATACCCATACACACAAACACACACAAACATGTACACACATATACACACATACAAACATGTACACACATTCATACACACACACATACACATGTAGACACACATACACATGTACACATACATACACATGTACACACACATGTAAACACACACACATGCATGTGCAAACACACACAATTAATAAAAAAAACCAAACAAAACAAACCAGTTTAACTAAGCAAAGGAGGTTGGTACAAAAGACAAACACTTTGTAAGGCTCCTGAATCAGGCAAGTGGTGCAAGCAAAACTTTAAAGACCCAAAAGACTCCACATTGAAATCAAAGTCTAGTTAGCAAAGGTAAGTATGCCTTGACATGATGGGCAGGGCTATGCGGTGAAAACTATCCTCTCAACTCAGGGCAGAAAAGGAGGAAGAGGGGTAACATCACATGATGCATCAGTCACTGAGTGAGTGCCATGCTCGGTCCCTCAGAAGCAACTAGAAAGCAACCTGGGGGACAGGTGAACAGACTTTGCACAGTTCATCCCAGCTGAGACCTCCAGACTTTACCCCATGACACCTGGGAGACAAGTTCAGATGGCTTCCAAACAACAAACAGGCACAGAAACAGGTCAAGCACAGCCATTAGCCTCTGTGTTCACTTCAGACCCCCAAATTCTACCATGTAATGTCCTTTTCCTCCAAGGCAAGTGATTAAGGGGAGCCAATGGATGCCAGTCAGAAGTGTGTGCTGGTGGCAACGTTCTCTCTGTGAGATGTTGTTACTCATGACCTGTAAGCAGCCCTCCAGCTAGAACAGTGTATTTCCCTTAGCATTCTGGCTTAGTCAAGTTCAAAGCAGTACCGTCTCACGGTGCTTCCGTTGGTAACAGACGGTGCATGCAGAAATGGTGCCTTAAGATTACAGAGGGGTTGAAAATTCCCCATCACCTCCACCACGTCACAGTACAGAACATGCTCCTGACAACAGGAATTAGTGATAATAACTTACTGCTTCCTATCTTTACTGTGCTGTGGTTGTTACAGTTATTTTAGAATGTGCTCCCGTTTAAAAGGATTGTCTACTCTACAGAAGTTTGTGTTAGAACAGCAGCAGCCTATTCATCCCGTGCCTGCTAATTATATCATTGGTTTTTTATTTATGCTTAAACCAATTTTCTATTTTGTTCCTGTCCTAGGGAACAATGAAGTATAACACATATCTATAGTTAGTCTAGTTGTGCAGGAAACAGTACATTGCCCAGATAGGTACGTCTCAGAATGTAACTCCACTGTCAAACAATATGACTATTTGAGCAAGCAAAAAACAAAACAAAACAAAACCTATCGCCAACTGCACCACTAGAATGTGGCACAGGCTGGTTTTATGGTATTATCTGTGTATCGACATCCTCTCATCCGAGCTGTTGCTACCCATCATGCTGGTGGGTCCAAGCCACAGAATACAGGAACTTACCGGGACTGGCACGTGTGAGAGTTACACCGTCGGACCTGGGGCTCAGGGCGGCTTGCTTGGGGGCAGTCACTGTCATTCACCAGGGTTGTGGTCTTGTTAACAATCCGTGTGCATGATACAATGGTCCTGCGTTCTCCTGGAAGCCAAACCATGGGAGATGAGAAGTTATGGCTGCACATACTCAGAAAGCCATTTGTTTATCCTTATGGAGGGGTGTTTGGGTACAACTATCTATTAATATAATATTAATATATTAACTATCTATTAATATATTAACTATCTATTATCTATCTAAGTGAGCCATATCATTTGTCAAACAGGAAGACCTAGACATTTAGGAGTAGGTGCTTAAGTCATAGCTGAGTAGTTTGGACCAGTGTAAGATTCCAGAACAGTATGAGAAAGCAGCAGGATGTCAGGTCAACTCTGTCCTTGGACAGTTTAGGAGTTGCTGAGGCCAACACTTTGGTTTGAGCCTTTCGTGTCTGAGATTTGAAGTCTATGGAGATCCAGTCCCAATTAAACACGTGTATATCAGCCTTCACGGAGAGTATGGTCAGTTACTGATTTGTTGTAGGCGTGCTGCTCAAGAGGAACACAGTGGCTGGTGTGACAGACACAGGGGGCACTTGGGCAGATGGCCTGTACTTGTTCACAGTGCCCAGTGGTGCTAATGCCTTGGTGCCAGGTGTTCTTAGGCAGCTTTGCAGACTTATTAGCCTTTCTTTGAGTGTTTCCTCTGAGCTCCCCATCTGATGGCTATGACTTCATCAAGGAGGCCGAGCGATGGCAGTTAGGAGGGTGGCCTCTGGAACCAGCTGTCTGGGTTGCCTCTTGGCGGTGTCACTGTGTCACCTGACTATATAGTATCAACAGTTGGCCCCCATGCTTCTCTATCTTAGTTTCCTCCCTTGGGCCAGTTTGCTTCACCTCCCCTCGGCTTTTGGATGTGTCTGTGCTGACGTTTCATGCTACTGTATTGGAATCGTTGGGAAGCGTGGTCATAAAACCATGAAGATGGAGTCAAGTACAACTACTTAGGCCCAGGGTTCTTTGTAGTATCTGTTGTCTGAGGAATTTGTCATGTAGGGATGGCTGTAAAATGGGGAGTCTTAGGCCATACTGTCTGTCTTGTGGCCTACAAATGTAGCCTTGTATGAATACAAGAGCAAACATTTATTGAATACGGCTTTCAGCATTGAACTGCTGCAGGGAGGGAGCTGAAAGTCACTGGTGCCACAAAGGGACTGCACAGAGGCAGCAGTGGCTGCAGCAGCCCCCTAGTGGAGCACGGCCTGCTATGGCTCCCGTGGGCTGGGCTTGTCCATAGAGGGTAGGCAAAGGTATGTCTGGTGGCAGTTAAAGATGCAGGCATGGGCCCCTAACGTGGGAGTGGGAGACCATCAGCCCAGGGGCAGCTAAAGGCCACAGGACAAGAGATCTCCTGGAAAAGGTGTACTCTGGTGGGCGGATGGTACTACCTTGAAGCTGTGTCAATGGCAACTGTCAGTTTGTAGAGGAAAACATGCAAAATGTTCAGTGTGTGCAGCTAGCTGAGATGCATAGGAAGGCACTGAAGGGCTTGGTTCTGTCATGACTCAGATCTCTCCATGAACAATGGGATGAGCCCCCTTACATGTTAAACAGTGCTGTACCGGCTGCATACTTGATAACATCGCCTTAGCAGTCAAGCCACTCAAGAGCAGGCATGGGTGGTGGGGATGCGGCTGGGTCCTAGCATGCTGCCCACATGCTGGTAGACATCCAGAGTCCTAGTCAATCCCCTGTCTCAACTCTGTCTTACCCAGCATCATCCATAGTGTCATCTCTCATGACCTTTCTTATTGGAGTGACAAATGACAGTGACCCAGAGGTATATATAGTAAGAGACTTACTGGCTTTTATTCTCATATTCTCTCTTGCTATTCAGTCTCTCTCTCTCTCTCTCTCTCTCTCTCTCTCTCTCTCTCTCTCTCTCTCTCTCCCTCCCTCCCTCCCTCCCTCCCCTCCCTCTCCCCTCCTCCTCCTTTCCCTCCCCCCTCACTATCTCCACTATTTTCTCCCAGTCCCCCCACTTCCCTAGCCCTGGCCATGTCCAGTCTTCTTCTTTCTCTCTCTGCTCAGGACTATCCCAGACGCCTCTGGGCATTTTCTCCCTCTTATGTACAATCAAACCTTCCCATACCACGGAGCGGTCATGTCAGCAGCTTCTTTCCTGTCCCCCCTTGAAAGTTCTTTTCTGCTGCTTCTTGTTAAAACCTCCATTTCTTTCTTCTGCTCTTTGACGATTTCATCTATGTCCATGTTGAATCTTGGTCATTTTTATCCCATTTCTTCTTTTATCCTCATCACTTGCTGAAACCCTTCTTCCCGATATGCCCTCTCCTAGTTTGATGGTTTTTTTGTTTGTTTGTTTGATTTTTTTTTCTGTGACCCACTGGCTTGAATGGTAGTTGCTGGCACGAGTGGGGAATTCTTTATAGGAGCAGCTTACTAGTGCTCCTCCTTAATGCCTTACTAGCAAACACACTACTGTTGCTGATGTAGGTCCTTGGAGCGTGACAGTCCCTTTGGCTCACTTGCAGTCTCCATAGTGAAAGTGGGGGGGGGGCAGTCACTGCACTTAGAGGTGAGGAAGAGGGGGCAACGTGGAGTGCTCGGCTTGACCCAGAGGACTCTTACTTCTCTTTGCACCCTGGAGACCGTGGCTGTGGCATAGATGACAGGGTACTTGGGAATGGGTCAGGCTTTCATCCGTTGCCATTCTACCAAGTTGGAGGTCTATGTCAATTATTCCCAGGGCCATTTATTTTCATATCTACCATATAGTCACATAATTGGCAAATCTCTACTGCCAGGTCCAAAGGAGTGAAGTGGGCCCCCACTAACAAACCTGTGGGAGCTGGGAGGGTTTGACTGCATGCTCTGTTGCGATTTTCAGGGCTTAAGTCCCTATGGAAGCACAAATTCTCTATTTCTGTGCTGTGTGGACTGGTATAGAGGGCTCTGAACTCAGGATTTCTTCAGCCAAGCTTCATTCTCCCCTCCCCCGACCCCCACCGTACCTCCTCCACATTGCACGCTGCACCCTTCCCAGCCACTGTGGGTCCAGAGGAAGAGAGCATCCTGTGGCTTGGTGGGCTCACTCTGGTTTTCTGTGCTCTGGTTTACAGGTATGGTGTATTCGTAATGAATTCCGTAATTCTGGTCATGAAACAGCAGCACCTGGAGCCACGGGAAAAGGAAGGTTTTACTGAGATGGAACGAGCAGCCACAGATTGTTGACCGTGTGCTCTGCGCTACCTGTGGCTGCTCCTCTACCAGCTTGCTCTCTTCTGAATATTAAGCAGGTTAAAGCTGGGGGTGTCCTCAGGGACTTGGTGGGTGTATAGGGTGCACACACAATCATTGGTGAGCTCTGTATCCCACAAAGGACCTGTTCACGTGAGGGATTTGGGGGTGGTGAACTGCATGGCTGTTTGTAGCATTTTTCTGCATCATGCAGCAGGGTCCGAATTCTCATCAATTTGCCCACAGGCTGAGCTTACAGATGAGGAAAACACACATAGTGCTTCTTCCTAGAAAGAGATCTGAGAGTGGTGCTAAACTATTTCTTTGAGCATACACAGTGTGCTGGCTAGTTTTTGTCGACTTGACACGAGCTAGGGTCAGCTGGGAAGAGGAAACCTCAATAGAGAGAATGCCCACAGCAGGCGGGCCCACAGCAGGTCTGGGGCAGCACTTTCTTGATTGACAACCGTTATGGGAGGGCCTTCTCTTTGGGCTATAAGAAGATAGGTTGTGTAAGGCATGAGGGGCAAGTCAGTAAGCAGTGTTCTTCCATGGCTTCTACTTCAGTTCCTGTGTCCTGGTTCCTGACTTGCTTGAGTTCCCTCAGTGACAGATCTGGAAGTGCAAGATGAAATAAACACTTCTTCCCAAGCTGCTTCTGGTCACGGTACTTTTTCCTTCCTCCCTTCCTCCCTCCCTCCCTCCCTTCCTCCCTCCCTCCCTCCCTCCCTTCCTTCCTTCCTTCCTTCCTTCCTTCCTTCCTTCCTTCCTTCCTTCCTTCTCCTATAGTCCTGGCTATCCTGGAACTTACTCTGTACACCAGGCTGACCTCATACTTAGAGATCTGCCTGCCTCCCAAGCTGGGATTAAAGGCATGCACTATCACTGCCCAGCAGTCATGGTGCTTTTCATAGTAATAGAAACACCAATGAAGACAAGCTCTGCCCTTCACCACCCGTCATTGCTAAAATGCAGTAAGTATACTCCAGAGAAAGATTCAGCCTCCGGCAGAGGAATCTGGGGGG